TCCACAGCTTTTCGGATATCATTCCATGCTGCCTCAGGGTGGGCGTCACATACACGGCTGCCTAACTGTTTTCCTAGTTGTTCCTGAAATATACTCTTAGCTTGACTATCATTAAGTAGGGCCCTAAGAGGTTTCCTTGGAGTGTCTTTCCTACGTCCAGTAAGACGCAAGCAAATACGCGCTCGCACTAGAGCATGATCTGAATCTAAGCATGTGCTCCAGAATCAGCGACAGTCTTCTATCGAGCCCCTCCATCGGTGGCTGATAGAAGAGCAGTGCAGCATGCATATAGCATAGGAATAGTCCTACACCGTATCCGTTATTGACTGTGCAGTTAGTCGCGAAAGCGTATTCGGCGACCAGAACGTGAGACTTTAGTCTCGTTCGTATTTCGTGAGCCTGCAATCGCATCCGAAGTCAAGGGCAGCGTGGTCTGCTGATCTGGACATGAGACTGAAGTCTCGTCCATAGATGGTGCAGAAGACACGTGCTGTTGACCGGGACGTGAGAATGAGGTCTTTGATGTATCTAGCGTGGGACCTGAAGCAGATGTATGGATCCCGTTAGTAGATTTGATAGGTCTAGTATTGGGTCTCAAGTTATCTGGTAGGGCATTGTCACCGACGTGTGCTGGTTTGAGACGATCAATGCTGACGATCTCGACGCGGCCATGTCGATCAACCTTGAAGGTCTTTTTGTGACGAGAAATCATGTGAAAAGGTCCTTCGTAAGGCTGTTGCCAAGGTTTGCGTACCGTATCTACTAGTATGAAAAAATGTGAACAGGTAGATAACTCTCGAGGGAGAGCGACCTGTCGATGTTGTATACGAGTTGACACCGGAGACAGCGTTCGCATAAATGCAGACAGTCGATGGAAGTAGTCTGATTTACAGAAATCGTCACTGCTCCGTGGTGTGAAGAATTCCCCAGCCAGACGCAATGTCGTGCCGTATACCAGTTCAGCGGCGGAACATTGGATATCTGCGTTCAAGCTCGTTCTGATACCTAAGAAGACGAGTGGTAAGGTTTCGTACCGATTGTCATTTTCGAGTGCTCAAAGAGCACTTTTAAGTTGGCGATGAAACCGTTCAATTAAACCATTTGATGCTGGGTGGTAGGCGGTAGTGCGTATGCGTTCCGTACCAAGCAGCCGGGTCAGTGAGAATAGTTATTTGTGGAAATTTCTCGAATAAAGTGTGGAATATATCGTCACGCAAATGAAAGACACCTAAGATTTGGTACGCGTACATCGGAGTCTATTATATGAATACTATTATCGTTATCCGTCATGTCGAGTATATTATATATTGAAAAATATTAATATGAAAATATACAACAGACGTGGATAGATAAGTAATAGACTCACCGCAATTGGCTTCTTTCGAAGATTTGACCAGAAGTTGAGAAATGTTCGTACTTTTGGGTTTACCAACTGTAGCGTGGAGTCGAGTCGCGATTGACTATGAACACCACTACAAGAAGACTACGTGCCATTTAGCCGATAAAATCCCCCGTAAGCCAAATATCAGAAGGCAGTTGATGGCTGTAGTCGAGATTTATTTGTTGGCGATCTCGTGGTATCGAAAGGATACCGAGATCGTGCCAAAGGAGTACAAGCGTGGTTACCGGGCGTAACCGAAACCGTGCAAGGTCACAATCGAAAGATAATGGAGCAGTAATAGGGCTGTCTTTAGCACAGTTAAACAAACGAGCACAGTAAAACAATCACTGGTACAATTGGTTATAATAATGATTGTTTCCATTAAATCAATCGCGTTCGCTTGATAAAAGTAGGTCACTACAATTCAATCAAAGTAGATTTTGCTTTCAAAGTCGTCTACAAATCAAGTAGAAAGCTGTCAATGGCATTTATATTTCGCATTCTTAGTATTGCCGATGCACTAGCTATACACCTTGAAGAATCGGAATCACTTGTCTAAAACAATGTGGTACAAAGCCTTCCCCTTTCATGGTCTTAATCTCTCGCAATGCTTTTTTTCTTTTATAATCTCTCACTACCATCTGCTTCCCTTCTATCTTTTCCATAGACCTTCCACCCCCAGCTGATTTGTTTCTGTTTCTATGATCCTCCAGATTACAGTTACTCACAATTTCAACATCTTATCTTATCCCTCTGAGCCTTTCCTTCCGAATTATAATCTCCTTATCTATCTGCTTGATGAATATTCATGTCCCAGAGTGAACATCAACTCTGAGATGCAGGTACATCCAGCTGATTATTAGTTTCCTTGTTAAAACTAACGTTTTAATGCCTTCGTTTATGCATCCTTACTGTTACCATGTTTAGCAGAATCCAATTATCGTTATTACTGTAATTATTATCATTTTGAAAAAGAAGTGTATATTCTCGATTGTAAAGCTCTGAAAATGAATTCTCCGAAGAGTAAACTCTTGGTTTGTATATAAACCAGGTATGTTTCAAATATATGATTCATACAGTGGAAGCTGTTCTGGTGTTCTGAACTTAACAGGCAGGGCTAAACGGGAAAAAGATCAATAAGGACACTAGGTTACTCGTACCGGTCAATACATCACTGTTGTGGCACAGTGTTAAGATTGCTTTAGTCGTATTATGATTGGCTATCTTATCAAGTGATATATTAACCGATCATTACAGAAAGTACTATTAATAGAACACACAAGTTATGACATACTTTATTTCTCAAACTTGTGAAACAAAACAAACGAAATAAAATAAATGTTAACTGTGAACAACATACATTTGAAATGCATGTATCAACTTGTAACAGCAAACTCTAAAAGGCCACATAAAGCTGATTGGTAATTACTTGTTTACATGACTGAGATATCGGTCATAAGTTCAGCGTAATTTTTCACTCTGAGAATTCCATATTGTACTAATCACATAATGTTAAATAAAGCGATTATTATTATTGTGAATTAACATTAAAGCTTTGATAACGTTATATTCTGTACAAGAAGAAAGAAATTATAACCTGAAAAAAATATTGAAATGTGTATGTTGGTAATATTACTCATTAGATGTTTATTTGTTTTCAGTTAACCAAAAAGTAACTAATGTGACTGAATTATTTCATTTGAAAACGAATTCACGAGGTAATGCTATTAGTTAGAGGGAATATACAATATATAATGTTTAAAATATTGAAGCGTATAAATCATTTCTATTATTCTGTGAGCATTAAAATCAATACAGTTAATGTGTAAAATTGTTAGTGGCAACAAATGATAAACATTTCAGTCAGAGAGTAGTTTGTCCGATTACAAAAGAATAATAGTATAAGTTGGTTGATTCCATTACTAGATATTTAATACTGTTTCAGTGTCCAGTAAAATTTCAAGTAAAAATATATGAGTGAATCACTTTCATCACACAATGAACTGTGTTAAAGAGGTTTCATTTCATTCTAAATTTTAGAACCTAATTATAATCAAATTATATTGTAGAATAATTTCCTGTTTGACCTCCATTCATTCAGATTACTCAGAATGAACTTGTCCCTAACTCTTCAATACAATTTTTGTAATATCCATTTTAGAGTGAACTATTTTTATTAATTTGAGTTCCGAAAAACTGATATATTCATTTACTAACAGTTAAGCATCAACAAATAAAGAGGTTTCAGTGTCAAATAATATCAATACTGTACCTCCTGTACTAATACATCGATTTTGGCATTTTTAATAAATTCAGTGTCTCTGACTAGTTGAATTAATTGTTGGATTCGTTAGTAAATATTAATAATCCCACCAAAAATTTACTGGCTGCAGCGACCACATATTCATAATTCGTCAGGTTCTAGAAGACAGGAATGCTTATCGGCATCCGGTGGTGGTGGTCTTTCTTGACTTAGAAGCAGCATTTGAATCGGTAGACCGCGAGATTCTGTGGCAATGTTTGTCATTGAAAGGCGTACCTCAGAGGTACATAAAACTTGTGAAGGCTTTTCTGGACATAACAAAGTTTTTCATAGACTGTAGGCTTCTTTTCCAATGAATGTAAGGAGATGTGCCACAATTTTATCACCATTAACATCTTTCTTGGTTATCTTCCAGATTTCAAACCTTTTCAAATAAATCTCAAAAGCTTCCGAAGTTGAACGAATGACCAACTGTTCTATTACAGGCTCCATCGCGATGCCAATATGATAACTAGGAGCATTTGAATTATAGTTTAAACTGGGAATCCCAAAAATAACTCAACTTAAGCAAGAAGTACTAGATAAGTATGGACAAATTTATTGTATTTGAAATTCGAAATCAAGTATTCAATAAGTACAAATGAATTGTTAATTCATGCAAACACCACAAGAATATCAATACTGTACCTCCTGTACTAATACATCGATTTTGGCATTTTTAATAAATTCAGTGTCTCTGACTAGTTGAATTAATTGTTGGATTCGTTAGTAAATATTAATAATCCCACCAAAAATCTACTACTTAACACTTATGATCAAAATACTGACATAATTAGAATGAACTTCATGCAAATTTTAGAAAATAATTATAATGGAAGTTGACAGAAACTACGTTTCACGGCGTTATTAGTTGTCTATTATGCTGCAATGAAGACAGGTCAACAGGTTAGCAGGCCACATAATAGATTTCGATCCTCGCAATCAATCCTTCCATTTAGACACTAGTATCTATAATTGAAAACCGCTGAATGAGAAGAATGATTTCAAATATACAGAACACATTCAGTACGGTTTATCGTCTATACACCAGTGTTTGTCGCTTCATTAAATTCCTCAAAATGATGTTTATTCAGACATTTGATGTGTCCTAATATCCGCTCGTTAATCAGCATTGATGTTTCATTACACTTGATGATTAGAATCATCATTAAAATCAATCATGAAACAAAGTCCTTGTTAAGAAGACTTTCAAAGTTATGAATGCGTTTAGTCATTGTGTTGCAAATCAAGTTTACATAAGTGAATTCGGGTTTCTCTGAACGTCAATCGAGAGAAATAAATTGATTTTAATTGTAAAATTATTTAATAGAAGTAACGCGATCTGTTAGGGTGAGGATGAAACAAAAGAAGACAATAAGTAAGAGTCTGTTATTCACCGTGATCTGTCTCTGTTGTCATATGTGTATTGTAATCGAAAGGCTTTGATGTACCGTTAAGTCACAGATCTTATTATGTTTGTTTCGTGACTGGAAGTCATGAGTATCAGCAACGGGAAATTAGAAAGTCTCATCAATACCTTTACACCTGTTGAGTAAATCGAAGCATGTCTAGATCCAGTGGCTCAGTGGATAATGAGTTTGAGTTTGAAATGAAAGGTTCAGGATTTTAGTGCTAGTCTATATGAATGGTAGGTCCAGGTGACCAGTCCCAAATAATACGAAATATATGTTCTGAATTCAGCTGCTAGCCACATACCAAATGCAGTAAGAAAATCATTCTAAACAAAATTTGATATTGATTCTTTTCTTATTTCGACACCTACATGTCTTGTAGTATATAATCGTAATTTTGATGTTCTAAAAAGCTTTAAAAGTTATGAGCACTCTATGATGATGACGGGACGCAAAATGTTAGAGCGTTACTTTTCCGGAGAAACAAATGATAAGAATCGAACAAGTAGGTAAATGAATTTTTGTCCGCTAAAGTTTATGCTGATAGTGGATTATTTTTAGAAAAAAGAGCAATTGTAAGTTCAATTCGTATCTTTCATTCTGCAATACCAAACCCATATGTTCTGGAAACTAAAAGAGAAAGGAATTCTCATTTGTGTTTTGTTGAATTGTACCTGTTTTGTGAAGTTGACTATATGTTGAATAATTCAAATACTTGTTGTTACTTTGAATTACACAATCATTTCCATTGATGTTATTGTAGTAAAAATTTGACCCTTGTAAATGGCCTAGTTGGAATTATTTTTGTGAGAATTTCTCAGAAAAACAATAATCCTTTAGATGCATTTTAGAGTGTGTTTATTTAAATTTTATTCCAACCAATAAGATAGTCAAATTCCTAATGACCAATTAGGTTATACAAATAGTTGCTATATAAACATACTCATCCATCAGTATGGTTTATTTAATTTTATTGAATAGAACTGTGGAAATGAAGATCTTTGCAGTAAGTTAGATTCATTATGATTTATACGACTGAAACCTTCACGTAATGCAATTCATCATATTTTTCTGATATATTTATATCCAATTTTCTAACAATGCAAATCAAGTCAGTGATATCATGTTAATCTAATTGTATACGGTAACAATTAGTTATCAATACAAATTGAATGGAATTACGTGAAGTCATGAAACGTGAGGAATTGATACTCCACCCAATATAATGTTACAAATACGTTATTTTTATCATTCGTAGAATCAAATTATTTGATCGCTGTCGTTTCCTTACTAAATCCGTTTAAATTCCTTCTTAGGTTTTCGGTATTATGTTAACTTATTTCTGTGCAGTAACGTTCGGAGCTGAAAGTCTTCACCGATGTAACAAAGATTTTGAGGCAACGATGGAATTTTGCTTCAGTCAGAACATACGTTATTCAAGTGAGTGTTGGTAACCGATTATATAGAATTACAATGTCAATACTTATCATTAATTCACAATGCCCAATGATGAACTCTTATTGTTTTGTCAACGCATTTTTATGCAAGATTTGTTAATTTGAAAGTGTTAGCTAAACAATATTGTGCATGACAATGAGCATGTGTTTGATTCACTTTCAAGTGACTAGTTTCTAATTGTAATAATTTCAGTATGTCAAGTTAGAGTTGTCATGTAGCCAGGAGTAAAACACTCCATCTCATCACGCTACAGTGAACATAGAGAGTTTCAAAACTGTTATACAACATAGAGTTTACTACTTGATGCATTATTTCTTCTGACTATATTTTGTATGAACAACAATCCATAATCGTTTGTAACTGTACTGACGATCATAAATTTGAGCGTATTAACACATTTGGTCAATGTGAATCTTAAAATTCGCTGCATATACCTATTACATGCAACGACGTTTCCACAAATATATCCTTGAAGCAATTATAGATATAGTCAATTTTAAAATTAAATTGAATTTCATAATTAAGTACATGTGAATGTCCATCATCATCCACTTCAAGAAACGTTTACTGCTACCATACACCATTAGCGTTCCATTGTGATTATCACTATCGTAACAACATTATGTCATGTGTGAATGAACGTTTATTAAAAATTATTCGAAGTCCTATACTACTGAAATGATTTTTCAGTCTTATCATTGCGTATATGAAGACATGTCGGTTGAAATAATTTTTGATCTGTTAATTTAACTGTTCATTACCGAAATTGTGTTATCTTGATTATTTCATAACTTTGTTAGTTTTCTTAAGCGGAGTTCTATCGAACTAATCGCTGTCATATAAATGATTCTTTATGCAAGTTAACTAATCTCTGTTCCAGAAGATTATTTAAATCACATTTACATCATGATTGAAATCCATTCAATGTAACCATTACTTCATACATGAAACAACATGATGGAAACGAATAACAGAATTCGTTATGTAGGGATTTGTTATTATATTGTTATTCCTACTCGGAGGTCATTTTTATTTATCCGTATGGTTTATATCGTGTCTTTTGAAACGCCATTGTTTGTCTCTTTTTGTTTAGACAAGTTCACGGACTTAAAGAGTTTGAGAAATGCTTGCATGGATGATATATTTTGCAAACCTAAAGCAAAGAATTGTCTTTTATCTTCACTTCAAGGTTCGGCATTCAGTAACTGTCCTTTACAAAGAACCTATATAAAATCAATAGATCGTATGTTCAGATAAACTTCTGGTCATCTCTTAGTCTATTATTTGAATTTGTTATGTACAGATAAATAAAGTCTTTATTTTATCAACTATGGTTTTTCTAAACAACAATTGCGGGTGATAAATTATAAACAATGGCTTCACCAAATTTTAGTGAAATAAAGCTGGGTTAATGGTTAATCATTTTTTAGAAATTTCAGGTTATCTATTTGATGCATTCCTTAAAATAAATGTCTAAAAGTCTGGCTACTAAGCGCTTGATGTTCAACCCAAACTTTATTGGACATGTTTAATGAATCTTAATCGGCTCTTCTTTCTGTTCAATTAGTGTAACTGATTTAGCAGTTGCATGTAAATCTTTGCATGCCTGTCGAACATGACTATATCAGTGCCCATACTGATTCATAAAAGATGTCTAACGTAACTGCGTAATAGGTCTCATGTAGTGTGGCACTTCAAGTTCTCTTGACTGTCCGCACAACATAGTTTTAAAAAAGATATAAGCGACATCTAACTCGCTAAAGATAAACATGTATCTTGTGATTGAATGACGATACATACAGGTTAGCAAATGAAGTAAATACTGAAAATGTTAATCAGTCAGCTTATGTGTCTATGGCGAATAATTCCGATTTTAGAGCAAAGACCGTCAAACATAATAATTCAACTTTTGTACCTAGTATGCTTTAGACCTTTACCGAGTACTGGAAATTATTTATTTTACACACAATACATCCTATTCAGCTGTAAAAGAGATAGTGAGAATAGTGCCAGTTATGCAGTCCCATTATGTAATCTTATGCTTATTCAGTTTCCTTAATTTAATTGAAAAATAATCCTGTGTTTTTGTCTGTTGTGTAAAATGAATGGTGCTGTTGGTTGAGTGGTAGAATAAAATTGGATTTTCAACAAAAATCAAGTTTATCAAATAAACTCTAAAAGTCGAACATCAATGGATGTATCGTTGCATGGTGCTAAACAATGATTATACTCGTAGTTAAAAAGTAATAAAGTTCACATACTTGAATAATTATCTCAGAAATCTGAAAATGCTTTACCTTATATTGTTTGAGTATTGAGAAGTATTTAACGTCTAATTAAGATGAGTAAATCACACAAGAGTTAGTTCTGATTAGTAGATTGTCCTAAAACACTATGATATACAAACTGTTTGTCAAGTTAACTTACCGTCAAGATCTCTTCACAGTTATACTCAATTAGAACCAGTGTTCTCATAATTCAGTTACTAATTTTTATTACCAAGTAATACAAAGAAGGAAGTAGAAACTGATCATTTATTAACGAGTGACAACTGGGCCATTGTTATAATATACATGAAAACAATGATATATTTGATAACAGGTTACTGAAATTCAAGTGAATTGCAATTAACTAAACATACTTCTATTTATCATCTTGAGCATAGCATGAACAAAGATTTGAGAACAATGACAACAATTCATTTTGTCTTATCTGGTCCTCATCAGCTGCTTACATCCTGTAACATTTGAGAATGATAATTACAAAATCGGTTCAGGTTACTTGGATGAAAATGTCTAGCTAAAAGTTACTTTAATGACTTATTAGTACAGTATAGCAAAGGCATGAACAAATTTAACAAACTGAATAAAATATTGTGAATGTATATCTCATATAAAAAACATTCTACAACATTCATAGTAATAAACAACTTAAGGGATAGAAACAAGTGGTTACGGAAGCAGTAAACACTGAGAACAAGTAAGAATAAAATGAGTCAAGCCCACTTAATTGATATAAATTTACTAATCCAGAAGACGCTCGCAATAAAAAGATACATTGATATAATTAATCACAAGAAAGAGTTGAACGAAATTTTTTGTGTAATAGAGGAATACTTGACATGAAGGCAAAGAGCTACTAACAACCATCTCTTCTTGAACACATTAATCATGTGTATAACACCTGATATCAGTGGCCTCAGCAAACTTCGGAAACTGGGTGTTTATTAATCACCTTGAAATATTGTAAGCGGTTGGTTGAACTGATGTCCTATATCCAACAGATGTTTAGTAATCGCACTGTTTAATTTTGTTCTCTCCCTTGTTCGAAAGCTTTTCGGAACATATTCGAAAGATCTAAGATATGTCCTCCATACGACTAATCAGCTAGTGCAGCTATTTTGGCAGATACACGTAAATTTATAAACACAGTTGGAAGTAACATTACCTTATAACTAACTAGAGAAAAACTATTGAAATCCAGGTAAAGACTATTGCAAGTACTTTCTGGTAAACCAAACATTACACCGTCCAATCTTCCGCTCGTTGTATTGCAATTTTAGGAAATTGCGACATGTCATTGTTTTCGTGTTCCACAGTAAATTGTGTGTTGGGACGAGCACTGTAAAAGAGTGCTGACAAGTGGATCCATTGGCACACTATCAATTTGACGGTATGCAGTGTTATCGAACTGAAATTGAATGACTTTTGTGAACATAAGTGAAGTCTATTTCAACTGTGACACTGGTGAAATTACTTACTTACTTACTTACGCCTGTTACTCCTCGTGAAGGAGCATAGGCCGCTCACCAGCATTCTCCATCCAACCCTGTCTTGGCCAATCCTTTCCAGCTCCTTCCAGTTGTTATTCATCTTTTTCATATCTGCTTCTATTTCCCGACGTACTGTGTTCTTTGGCCTTCTTTTTTTCCGTTTCCCCTCAGGATTCCACGTTAAGGCTTGCCTCGTGATGCAGTTTGACGATTTGCGTAATGTACATCCTATCCATTTCCATCGTCTTTTCCTTATTTCTTCTTCAGCTGGAAGCTGGTTTGTTCTCTCCCACAAAAGGCTGTTGCTGATGGTATCCGGCCAATGGATGTTGAGTATCTTGCGTAGACAATAGATACTTGTACTTTCTTGATTGGTGGTTGTTGTAGTTCTCCAAGTTTCAGTTCCGTACAGTAGAACTGTCTTGACGTTCGTATTGAAGATTCTCACTTTGATATTGGTTGAAAGTTGTTTTGAGTTCCGTATGTTCCATATGTAGGAATGCGGTCCTTGTTTTGCCGATCCTCGCCTTTACATCTGCATCTGAACCTCCTTGTTCATCTATGATGCTTCCTAGGTATGTGAAGGACTCTACATCTTCCAGAGTTTCGCCATCAAGAGTGATTTGATTGCTGTTCTCTGCTTTGAATTTGAGGACCCTGGTTTTACCATTGTGTATGCTGAGGCCTACTGATGCAGAGGCTGCTGCTACACTGCCTGTCTTCATCTGCATCTGTTCGTGTGTACGCGATAGGAAGACTAGGTCAACTGCGAAGTCCAAACCGTCTAATTGATTCTGAGCTGTCCATTGTATTCCGCGTTTTCCCTCAGATGTCGAGGTCTTCATAATCCAGTCGACCACCAGAACAAAGAGGAAGGGAGAGAGTAGGCAGCCTTGTCTGACTCCGGTCCTTACTTGGAATGCATCTGTCAGCTGTCCTCCATGCATGACTTTGCACTGTAGTCCGTCGTATGAGTTCCGGGTAATGTTGACAATCTTCTGAGGAACTCCATAGTGTCGAAGAAGTTTCCATGAAGTCCTCCTACCTACACTGTCAAATGCCTTCTCATAGTCAATGAAGTTGATGTATAGTGATGAGTTCCACTCAACTGATTGTTCGACGATGATCCGTAGTGTTGCAATTTGGTCTGTGCACGACCGATCCTTACACAATCCAGCTTGTTGATCTAGAAGTTGGGAGTCTACTGCAT